CAAAACAGTGGACAAAACATTTGTTACTTCAGCAAGTATAAGAGTAAACTATTTATATAAAATAATAAATGAAACAGTCTTAGTTTACAGTAGTGCTTGTGGGTCTGGTTCCTGAATGCATACAATTAACATTGCTAATACCCTGAGAATTTTGGCACAGCGTGCAGTGTATGTACACTCAGATGAAAGGTCTTCATTGCTATAGTTTCAGAGCCTGGCTAGACTATGACTGGAAGTAAGCTGGCAGGGTCTCTGTAGGACTGCTTCCACAGAGATCAGAAGAGCACAAGATGTTCAGATGTTTGGTTCCTACTGCTTGAGAAGTATCCCTCATACAAGTCTGATTGACATAAAACAGTGTATTGTTCTGCATTAAAATCTGATATAATCAACAGCTCATACAATGTTTTTTTTTTTTTCTGTTCCATTCAGCATTAACTTAGTGGAAAATGCATAGTTTTGTGAATCTTTACAGCTTATCTACACTATGTCCAACTATGTTGCCTACTTTTTTCAAAGCACCACCTCTCCTGGACATGTTTGACTGAAGTTGCTTACTTGCGTTAAAGTTTTGTTTGGTTTTGTTTTTCTTTACCATCTACAGAAAACAGAATTAATTGTACTCATTAGCCTGAAATAGATGGAATAGGTTGCAACAAACTTCAGGTTCTGTTACCTTGAACAATAACATGATGCATGTATTTTATTTAGAGACCTTTAGGAGGTGCATATGGCACACCTCCAATTTGATGGTGCACCAATACATTTCTAGTAAGTTCAAGTTAGAGGCTGTTATTTTCTAGGCATTAGGTTTGCTATCACATACGCTCTGGTTATACTGAAAGGAAAACATAGGGCAGTTTGCTTACCTTGGCACACATTGTGCTCACTTTGCTCATACCCAGCTGCACACTGAATTTGATGAGTTGGATTTGGAGGGGCACGGTGAGGATCAGCTGGAGTCCGTCGAATGACATTGTTTCGACCACTAGTGGATTCAGCTGCTGCTTCTTCTCGCTCATTTACAATAATTTGGGCTGTTCTGGGTAGACAGAGGTATCCTCCATAGTGGTTAACACATTTCATTCCACCTTTACATGCATCTGGGACTATTTCACATTCATCAATATCTGTGGTTAGCAACAACACAAGTCATGCTTTTAACAGTTGAATCCTCTGCAACAGCCATTAATACAAGTAATGCAATGAAACATGCAAGCACACTCCCTTGTCTAAACCAGGGATGTGAGAACACTGAAATAATTCCAACAGCAAGTTTTTGTTTGAAAATGATTTACTGTACCTTTGCACCGTTGCCTAACAGGATCCCATTCATAGCCATCTGTGCATTGCTATAGAGAAAAACGGGGAAAAAAAACACAACAGTAAAATACTATGCTAGTCAGGAATCTTTATTTTGGAAAAATAAGCATATTTAAATGATCTCAAAGTTTTACATTAGGAGAAAAGCAATGTTTCTATAACTTGGAAAGCTAAAAAAAAGGTTATTAGTACAGCATTGCTGTGTAGGTAGAATGAGAAGCATGTAGAGATAGAGCTTCTATTCGCAGCAAGTTCCTAAGGTATTGTTTGCTGAGTAGGTAGACTTTAGTGGGGATGGGGAACAAAGCAAAAAAAGCATCTGCCATTGGTTACTGGCTGACTATAATTTTATTTGTTTTTTTTAAACTTTGTTCTTGTTCACTGCTTTCCAGGAGTGGAACATCTTTCATTCTTTCATTCCAGGGGCTTGCCAGAGGGACTAGTGGACCTCTGTCCCACCGTACTTCTTCCTCTCTCCCATCAGCACACTAGCAATGGGGAAAGATCCCATGACAGCTGGAAATTCATTCACATGCTTTCTAACCATGTGACTCCAGGAACTGCAGTCTAGGAAGAACAATTTATATTGCAAGACATACAATAAATGGTTAGAGTTTATAGCAGCAGGACTACTTATATAAATAAAACTTGACAGAATTCAAACAAGACTATGCTCAGCAACTATTCATATCATCGTAGACTGGTAACTTCAGAAATAATTTTAAATATTCTCCCTGGCAATTGAGGCAAATATCTTCATTATCTCTCTGCCCAAAAGCATTAAAACGTCTACAGTTTTAATCACAGGTTATAATTAGAGAAACTGATTAGTTAAGTACAACAATGGTGCCAACTACAGCAGACATTTAAAGTATCAGTGAATCAACTGAGCTGTACCATGCGGGTGCATATGCATCCTGCACTGCTTAGGATATTATTTTAATGGCCCCACAGAAAGGAAAGAATTGAGTCAATTAACGTAATTAGCCACAGTTAAGCAAGCTAAATCTTGTTGCAACTCCTCCACTGTAGAGAACTGTTTAAGTAACAAGTTTGACCTTCTGGTGCTGAGATCCACTTGTTCCATTTACAATGCTCAAGTTATTTTGAGAAACTTGTTACAAACAGACACTGACTCAGCAATAGGATTGAAAATATGTTCTTCATTCGCAGGTGACACCAGTGATCTGCCAGATGTAGCAGCGAGTTGGAAGAAAAAGCCTCCAATGTTACAAAGGGGTAAGTGGACAGCAAATTGTATTACAATTCTCAATCTCTGAAGGAATGACTACATGCTGAGTTGACAACACCGAAGTTACTGTAGCTATGAAAACGCAAACCCAAAGGAAAACAGCTAATTCATGCATCTACTGAATCACCCAATTCCTGTTAATGCACAACAGAAGTTCTGTCTATTTAGTAGTAAGGAGCCAAGTCCAACTATTACTGCAGCTGAAGGAAGTTTTACAATAGAAAAGGATTTGGCCCTAAATGAATACAATGTACGTATGAGAAACAGTAGCATCCTACGGGTAACATGTCCAAAAGCTAAGTTTCATTGTTAAGTTTACATGATTAGAAGGCTGATCACTGAAGCACCTGAATGCTCTTTGAAAACATATTATGGGAACCCAGATCACACAGGCACGCTAGAAATCTTGTATTGTTATAAAAAGAAGTGTGCAGACACACCAGAAAAGCCCTATTAAAAAAAATAAATTGTAGTAAGTGCTGAAAAGGATGGGGTTGGGATCCCTATTTAGTCTAGATTTTCAAAATGTACTTATTTCTTCAGTTTCTGCTTCTGTATAGGAACTTAGAAATATTTCTGAGGGCCTCTAAATAGAAGTACTCCCAACCTTCAGAAGTCTATTGCCTCCAAAGCCTAGTATTAAAAGTATTTTATGACTGACTTCCTGATGTTCGCTTGAGGCTTCTTTGAGCCCTGTCTTCTATGATAAGGTCCAACTCTGCAATATTTACTTGCCTGAGCCATCCCACTGACTTCAGTGGGATTACTTGTATAAGACACAATCTCAGCCTTTGGCTGTGGTTCTCTAACTTTTTGCATGTGTGCAGAATTTTCTGCTTGTGTGGCATTGCGCTGATGTCTGTACACATATTCAGAGGTCCACCCATATGAAGCAAGTTGCAGGGATTACAGCTGTAATCAGATGTGAAAACGTGGGTTTTTCACCAGCCCAAGCCGATGTAATTGCCACTCCTTCTATGACACGCATTATGCGAGCCAAGGAGTGAGAACAAGCAGATTAAAACCAAAAATTTACAAGAAGGCCTATAAATCTCCTACCCCATCACCTGGTTGCAAGCAGAACCTATTTCCAGTATTCTTGTAGAATTTCATCAAGCTGTACACAACCACTGCTCAAAACCAGCTCAAACCAACATTTGTGGGAGCACTCCAGGACTTAGATGCTTCATTAAGAGCACTGAGTTCTGAAGGACTTGCATGTTGTTAAAAACAGCTTGAAACATCCAAAGGAAAACACTGAAGAATGTTTGACCTAATTATCTGTCAAGTTCCATGTATTTCAAAGGAAGGTCCTAGGGACCTTTTCTTTAGGAAAAGGGATTAAAACATAAAAAATTAAGCTTCCTAATTTTATTCAGTTCATCAAACTCAGCCCACAGCTTGCTTTTCAGAGCAGAGAGCTGCAGCCCATTCTGCTCAGTCCTGTAAACTTCAGCTTTCACTGTTTCAGCGTAGGAGCAGCTTATTTTACAGTGAGCATTCAGGCTCAAAGAGCTCTGTATTGCATGCAAGATTTTTTTTTTTTGGAGGGTCATTTCGAAGAAGCCCTGCTGCAAAGCAAAGCACCAGTTCTCCCCGGCTCCACGAAGCCTTACCGTGTACGTTATGGTTTCCTCAGTTTCCTGCGAGTGCACCGTAATGAGGATGAGCGCAGCCAAGAACATAGCTGTCAACATCATGAACCTGGAAAGAAAGAAAGAAAGAAAAAGAAAGAAAGCAAGCGCAGTCAGCCACCAGCCCCTGCAGCGCCGCTGTGCCAGCGGAGCCGGGACAGGTCCCTCGCTACCTGGCGCCGCCGCAGCCCGGTGGTGCCAGGGGGCGGCTCGGCAGCGCGGGCAGCCCGAGAAGGAGCCGGGCACGGCGGAGCAGCCGGCTCGAAACCCCGCGCCGAGGCTCCGGGAGACCGCCCGCGGGGCCCCGAGCAGGCAGCGGCGGCACCGGGCACCTGCCGGGCTCGGGGCCGCCCTGCCCCGCCGAGCCGAGCCGCGGGACAGGGGCAGGAGCAGGGGCAGCGCTTCGCTTGCAGCCCTCGAGCCCGCTCCTACCTGCGGCGGGGCCGGCGGCTGCTCCCGGCGGCGTTCCCGCGGCGGCTCCGGCCCCGTCCGTCCGCTGGCTCCGCTGCGCTGCCGGCGCCCGCTCCCCCCCCCGGGCCTTGGGCTAAATAGAAACGGGCCCGGCTCCTGCCGGAGCCCCGGGCGCCCCCTACCGGCCCCGCGGCTGTCCGGAGCCCTGCTGCGGGGCGGGGCGGCCCGGGCGCACGGCCCCTCCGCCGCTCCCCGCCGCTCCTGAGGCGAGGCGGGGCAGGAGGCCCCTCACGCCGGGCACGGTCCCGGTCCCGGTCCCAGCCCCGGCCCGTGCCCTCAAGCAGCCCGGCCGCCGGCTTTCCACAACGCCTCGTGAGGGAGGTGGCTGCCATGTGCGGGCTGAGGGCTTCGACGCCTGGGGAGTGCTGAGGGCACGCTGAGGAGAAGCAGGGTGGGTGCAGGAGGCGCCTCGCCATCTGCGTGTTCTTAGAGTTAAGCCCAGCATGGAGCGGAGGCCGCGCACGGAGGGAGCTTTCCTGGGTGGTTGTGAGGGGCTCAGGCTCGAGCGGGCCGCGCTGGGTGCTGATAAGAGCCGCTCCAGCAACAGAAGCCGCCAACGCTCACCCTGAATTTGGTAAATAAAATACACGAGGAGCCCCCTTACTGAAGGACTGCTCCAGTGAGAGCAGGTAGAGATTTTACTGGAGGTGGGAAGGTTCCTCTGGAAACCAGTTTCCACAGAGGAAGCTTTGGAAGAGTTTTCAGTGTGGGCTCGTAACCCAAAGGAGTCAGAGGGCAGAAGGTAAATGCAAAAATCTGTCAAAGCCTGAGGAGTTCTGCCTAAGAGCAAACTGGTTCTTCAGTTATTTCTGGGCATGATCACTTGTATGTGGAGAATACATATGTATTGTTACAACTGCGTATAAAATCAAAATGTTTCCATGAATCTTCTGGTGCGGGGAGAGGATGAGCTAACACCCATGGGGCTGACCAGAGTCATGTTGTGCAGCTGAATAACCCTCAAACATGAATGACATTGGTTGGCTTTAGGTTGACTACATTTTTAGGACATTTTGCATGTGCTTTTGTATGCTGATGTTTTTAACTAGCTATCTTTTGACACCTACTCTCCTGCTCAAAGAAATGCTCCCTTTAATCCGCCTTTAGTCCGTGTATCATTTTTTAGCAATACAGGCTCAAAGTGTTAGATTGGCTCCAAATAAAATGACTCTTATTAGTGTAAACTACACTCATATTTATGACACGCCTCCAATTATATGGTGAAAATTTGCTGTTTCATGTTAATAGAAAGCAGTACAGATATTCCTAGTGCTCAAAATAGTAATATCAATTGCTTGTCTCTGCTGGCAACAATGGTTACTTTTGGATGTACTGTCAAAATACCTGCCATGCCGAGAGACCTGAATTTTAACTTGTTGGCTTCTGGATTAAGTCAACCTTTAAAAATGTTTGGTCTTAATCTACTACCTAGGGAGACATTGCCTGTGTTGCACTCTAGGAAAACTGAATCAGAGAACAACAGAAGCATGTATGAGCACTGGCTGAGCATACATCCTGCACTTGGCTTCAGACGGTGTTACACATTTGCTGAAATACCATACTCTGCCAAGGATAGTTCATGGTCCTTTAAATGGAGGTGGTAGACTCAGCTTGTGATTTTGTAGTTCAGATATTTCCTACTGAGGCAAGTGGAAATTTGCCTCATGAAGGATAACATGAGTTAGACCCTTGGAAATGTTGAGGAATGTGTGAGGTATCTGGGTGAGAATAGCTTCCTTACATATCTACACGTCCGAAGATGTCTTTTATGAAGTGGTCAACCCACCCGTTGTGTCTTGCAGACCATGTAGCATGGCATTGCTGAGGCCAGCCCCTTGCAGCAGTTGCTGGTGGTGCTTCTGATCGAAGCAGCCCTGTGAGGCTGGCCCCTAATTGCTGCCTCTTGGCTCCTTCTGTAAATGGTGCACTCTATTCCCTATGGCTTTAGCGAACTTTGTCGCATCTCAGTTTTTGCTTCCTTTAAAAACTGCACTTTTCATACATTCTTGTTGTGTTTATGACTAAATGTTCACGTTTTTTTTTTCTTCCTGGCAGGACATGTTGCCACCCCCTTTTGTCCTGAGAAACCTAAAGACAGGTAGGCTGAAAGAAGACTGTGTGTGGTCAAAATGTCACTGCAGTCCAGCTAATTCTGGCTGCTGGAACTGTCCCTGGGGGCAATAGACAGCTGCACATAATTTAGAGCAGGCTTAGATTGATACTAGAGGCTAGCCTGAAAATAAAGAAAACAAAATTGCAGTTTAATCTCTTCTACTCCCAGATCTGACCTCCTTTTCCTGTTTCAAGCATAGCTCACTAGAAAGAAAATCAAGCACAGTGAATTTAAGCAACTTGTATTTGTCAACTCAGGAGACTATCAGTGTCAATTTAAGATGATTTCTTTTCCTGAGAATGTCATATCAAGTAACACTGGAGTTGTCTAAACTAAGAGCTGGAATGGTGGAGATGTTATTTTCATGTCGGACTCATAGGAATTTTAGAACATAAATTATTTTGATAACATGGCAGGCTGCCTTTCTGCCACACTTCCTGCAAATGTCAGAATTTTTTCCACGTTTCGACTTGGAAATGACATAGTGTTGGTGAAGGATAAATTGTGAAGAATTACATGTCTGACTTCATTGCTGATTAAATATGACAAATGTTGAACTTTTATTTGAGGTAAGATTTTATGAACTGATTTATCTTCAAGGGAACTATTGTGAACACATTGCGTATGGCATAAGGTGTTACTTTAACATAAACTTAATTTGAAAGAAGAACCGTGTTAGCAAATTACTCACTTTTTAAAAGAAAGCTAACAGTAAGAACCTTTCTCTAACAGAAGAACATTTCTCATGTTAGAGAAAATTCCTTCCCTGTAAATCTTGCAGTTTGGAGAGGAGAAAACCACTGGAGCTGGATTAGAAAATCTAGTTGCCTCCAATTTAGGCCTTTATTTTGCTGAGGTTATCTCATCTGTGGGAGATGTTGCATGGTCTTTGTTGTGTCAAGGTCTTTGGCTAATTTAGACTAATGTGTGATTTCATTTATAGATGTCTACAAATTCTCTGAGGATATTAAAATGTAATATTGTTGCTATATATTTTTTTTAACTTTTACTGAAAGTCAAGTATGCAGTTTGTATGCAGTTTATCAGGCATGCAATTTGCTTTTCTTCTGCACTTTACAGAGATGTGATCGTATATTTCTGCTTCTGCAAACTCCAGCAGAAGTGTGAATGCTGGGAGAGGGTGATGTTGTGTTCTCATCAAAGTCCTTTGATAGTAAAAGAAAATGTGAGTGTGGGAGGGCGGGTGACTGAGAATGGAGCCCCTGCAGGAAGCTGTTCATCTTTTTCATTGGTCCAGCTGTGCAGCCACACCAAACTAGAAAATTAAGGGCTTGAGAAGTGTGATACAGCTGAAAGTAACACGTGAAATGAGGTGTGATAGTGTGGGAGAAGGACGAGTGCATTTTACTTTCTGCGTCTGGTTCACCACCTCTTGTGTCTTACAAAATTAGTGTTTTTCATGCCTGTCAATCAGTCCTGTTGCTTCTTAGGTGTGGAGCTAATTTCAGGCTTCTCTTTGCAAACCGAGGTACTGTGGCTTACAGGTGCTTTCTCAGCATTTTCAGGGCACAACTTTGCAGCGCACCTTAACAAAATTAACTCGGAATTGTACAATGCCTATTTTTACGGACAGATTTACTTAATGTGGTAAGAATTTCAGGTGTCACAAATCCAGGCCTTAAATTGCACTGCTAATGCTGAGAAGATTTTATTTTGCTAAGCAATTTTATCCGGAATTGAACAGTCTTCCCACCTTTTGCATGTATGGGTACTTCTAATTTATTCAGTCGCATTCCTCTGTGTAGCACCTCTTTTCCATTGCTGTACCTAACAGGGATTTCTCTTCTCTTGTTCTTCTCTAGTTTTCTTCATATCAGATAAGAGCAGCAGCGCTGGGAAGCATGTATTGATGTAGGTCTGTGGCTTTTGTAACACTGGAGCCATCACTCCTTTCCTTTTTCTGGAAAACCAGCTTTGCTGCATACAGGAGTTCAAGTCTGACACTGGACTAGGTTTCAACCAGTTTGGATAAAGTGAGGGCTGCCTAGAAGCTTTTCACAGAACTATAATCCATCTGAGGAACAAACAGCCTTCTTGATATTCAAAATATTAGCTGGAATATATAGTATTCTTCTGATTAAACTATGTCAGTGCAGTTCCTTGCTCTGGCTAAGAGGCAAAACAGAAATGCCAGAATTCAGATCCAGTGTTACCCAGAATATCTTGGAGTCAGTTTCATATCTAGCTTTGGCTTCTCGTGAAGCTTTGTGCAAGTCATTTAATCTATTTCTTGGTATACTCTTGGTCTGTAAAATGGAGAAAATATGTGATGCTTGTGCAGGGAAATGGGGGGAATACATTCACTTATGTATCGAGGATTTCCAAAGACATTTAACCAATTTAGATACCCAGATCCCTTTCAAAGTCAGTGAAATCTGGATGCTTGTCTGTGAGGCTGATCTCAGGCCTGCTGTGGCACCTTGCCACTGCCTCGAAACGTGCACATTTCAGAGGGAAGGATGAGTGTGGATGAGTAAAAACTCTTCAGCACCTCAGTTCCCTCTGTGTAGGAAGTGCAGTTTGCCTTCCCCTGAGGGTAGGTGGCTCTTTTTGTCCTGTGCTCTTGTCCACGTTTGTGAAAGGTAAGTGTGAATTGCCTGGAATCAAATATACCTGTGCGACTAGCACAGCTTTCTAACAGGCAGGTCAGCTTCAGCAGATGGGATGTGTAAGCTCTTAGGATGCCCTAGTTTTAATTTTGCAGTCAGTATTTCTTTATAGCATTTAGCAGCAGGTTTTCAGAAGGTATTTTGAGTGCTTCTGAGGTTTATGCCTTCAGTTAAGAGGACAGAGAGTGCTCCTGATTTCAGAATGTGCTTACACCTTCAGGGCAGACATGCGTAAAGGGAGCCCTTTTTGAAAACCTTAACCTAGTGCTTCCTGCAAAACCTCCTGGGCCAAGAATGGAGTGTGACAGTGTCCTGGGTTTTCAGCCCAACAAAAATGAGGCATCTCAGAAATGCTGCAGTGGAGGGGGACCTCAGAGGAACAGATTTGTGGGCAGAGCTCTGGCTAGTGACTGTTCTGCTTTTTAGAACCCATAAGCATCAGGATCAGCAGACATTTAAAAAAGAAATTTGGTTTCACAAGTATCTTCTGAACTCCGAGTTTGCTTTTCTTTCTTTTTCTCTTTTCAGAAAAAGTTATTAATACTAGAACAGGAGCAACATTTCTTATTAATTCTGTGGGGGGTGAACTTGGCAGGCAACCCGCCCAGTTGACCTGTTAATCATTCTGCAGAGACTCAGCTTTTCTGGTGAATATCTGCACAACAATGCTAAGGAATATATGTCAGAGCATTTTATTCCTTTGAATGTTAAATTTACTTAGCGCTAGTCTGTGTGCTGCCACATGGAAAGCAGAAGAAAAATAACAGTAGGGATTTTCCTTTCCGTGAGATTATAAAGGGTTATCCTCTCACCCCTTTTTGCAGATACGTGCGGTTGGAAGGCATCAAAATTCTGGAAGAGGCTGGAAGATGATACAACCGAAAGCTGACACAGAAGAGTCGATATCCTTGCATGCTCCCAAACTGTTCTCAATGAGAGTTTCACCACATCAGGGAAGAGCTCAGCTCTGGGAGGGAGACGGAGGGAGCACTGCTGCTCTGAGTCCTTGAGGTATCCCTTTTAAGTGGCTGCAGAACAATACCGAGCATTTCCTCTGGGTAATAAACCAACACATAACTTGCAATATATACTCATTTTAAATTATATGTAACTTGGGGATTCTTTTTATTAATCGGTTCAAGTTCCCTTTCCCTGGAAGCCCAAAGCCCTGAGAAATTAGTTCCTGCTCATTCATGATTTACTGTGCTTTAGGGGCTATTAAAATTTGGAAGACTGCTAACACCAAAAGTGATAAAGGCCCCAAATAAACTGATCGATACAAAGAAAAACAAATACCCTTCTCTGCCCCTGTCCAGAGCAGCCTAGGGTTGTTCAGTTAACGTGCTTATGTCACTCAAGAAACCTCAGCACTCTGTTTTGCCAACAATAGGCTCAGTGTGTACGGGGCTGTGGGCCTCTTTGGCACCACAGCTGCAGGTCATAAATACAGTTCTGCAGATTAAAATATTAAAGTGCCCCTCTTTGGAGGCTGCAGAACAACGCCTGGGGTATTGCCCCCTGCCTCCGAGGCAGCCCGGCCGCTGCAGGGCTGTCAGGTGACCGCATGGAGCACACTCAAAGAGGTTCCCACATGTGGATTAGCTCTTCTCAGAAATGACATTCCTGCCATTTCCTGTGTTAGCCAGCGAGTGTTTTGTACGCCCAAGTTCCATTTCCTGCAGAAGGCTCCTTAAAGGTGGTTAAAGTGGTTCGCTGAACGTGAAATCGGCATGCCTAAGATGAAGTATAGGTACATGCTTTAAGGGAAGCACTGATTACTCTGTGCGGAACGTTACAGCTGGAGCCCCAACCTGTCCTCTGGTCTTTCCCTGTGTTTGTAAAATAGTAACAAAGAAAAAGGGGCATTTGGAAAAAATTACTTGCATCATTGGAAAGGAGAGGGGGAAGGAATATACTTACGTGGGTCCTACTCAATGCCTTGCTAGTACTTCCAGACTCCTTATTTATTACCTTTTGTCCCATTTTACGTAGAGGAGGTTTCTTTCCAGCTCCCTTACACTTGGAAAAAAAATGTGCCTCTCACTGTAATGTTTGACAGCACTTGAAACAGTGAACTGTGGTTGCAGAAATTTTCACTTCTAGAAGCAATGATTAGAATGTGTCAGAATTCTAGGCCTTGGTCCTTTATGCTCATGTTCATCAATCATTTTTCAAATGTGTATCTTTAAGTGAGAACAGGCTTTTATCATGTAAATTCATCCCCTGCAAAAGGAAAAACAAAAAACACAACAAACAAAACACTGGAGCAAGAAAAGCATAATTGATTGAGCCTGCCTGCGCTTTTCTCAAATCTAAGGAGAGCTTTTGGTTCATCATTTTGTCAGCAAATTGTGGCTGAGTTATTAATTATCTGTCTCAGTTATTAAGTACCTGGAATTTATAAATCTTTCAGGAAGGCATTTAATATACAAGTCTATGAATGTTGCTGGATCTCCACACTGGTGTCTTTACGTAAGCTGTGGATGCTAAGAAACTTGTCATCCTAATGATGAGGGAATTAAGCCTGTTAGAGTAGATTGCTTGATTGTAAAATAGCTTCTTTGGCACTTCTTAGTTGAGGAACAAGGGTCAGATTCTTTCCTTGTGCTTGAGACTCATCAAAACTCGTGTGGTCTGACTGCTGTGGGTTTATGGAGCCTGTTACCGTTCTGTCAGTAACTGTGCAGAATGGCTTTGGGGGACAGATTGAATAGTTGCTGCTACCTGGTAAACTCCTTGCTGCTTTAAAGGGGAGGGTGCAAAACCAGTGGAGGGGACTTTAGCCTTCAGATTGTGGCACTGCAGTTTATTAAGGAGGACATCTGCCTCTTCCTCACTAAAACTTAAGTCTGTTTCCAGGAAACTGTGGTAGTTATTGAACTTAGCACTAATTCAGAATCAGATCTCACCCTCTGTGGCATTAGGATGTAACTGGTGCGTGTGCATTTATAGCACAAAATCAGTGAAAACTGAGGGGTTTCAGAGTAACAGGCGATGTACCAACAGTCAATGTCCAAGTACTTGAGACTACTCTGCTGCTGTGTCCTAAGCTCTTCTACAGGGACATATCTTATTATAAAGAAGGCAGTTCTTTGTGTTTCGTATCATCTGCTCATTTGGAAGGTCTGCAGAGATAACAGTTCTGCCTTTTTCAATAGTGGCTTTGTGAGGACAGCTAAATTTCATGAGTCGAGCTATATGAAACTGAAAAATTGTGTAACAACAAGAAAAAAATCCTATGAGAGAAAACTTTCTAATGGTACCTGTAAGGAGAAGACTGTAAAAAATGGAACGTGTATGTACAGGTCATGTAACTCTGAAGCTGAATATAGCTGTTACTTAACAGCTCTTCTTCCTATAACTGCAGTTTGTCCTTTCTTTCTTGCCTTCCACCAAAGATTTTTCTTTTTTCTGCTTTAATTAGCAGGAAAATTTAAAAGAGGATATATATATATGTGTGTGTGTGTGTGTGTGTGTATTTCTCTGAAGGTAGATGGCCAAGAGGTTTTGCAACATTCCCTTAGAACTAGTAATGTTTAAAAGTTAACAGTGACATAACATTCATTTTAGAACAAGTGTGTATAAAAAATGTGTATTACTTTGGGTGGGATTACTCCAGATTCTTGACAAGCTTCATCCAATTAACTTCAGTTTGCATCTCCAACACGACTGTTATTATTTTTAAAAGCCTTCTATTATGCAGGAAATGTAGCTGTGATGTAGGCCTGAAGTCCAGCTGGCTTCTGGTGTTTAAAAGTTGACCCCTGTGAGAAGGGTTTTAATTGCTAAAACACACTTCATTTGTTGTGTCAGGCACACTGAGCATAGGTAGGCAAAGTGGTAAGGATAATTTTTTATTTCCAGAACCAGAACAAATAATTACTTGGGGCAGATTAACAGTTTCTCGTTTTTAGGAGATACTTTGTAGTGTGCATTTTATGAAGGAGCTATTAAAATAGTTCTTTGGAGTCAGAAGACCTTCCTTCACTGCACTGCTGCCTTTTCAGACTGATTCCCTAGTGTCAGGCAAGGAATATCATGCAGATGTGAAAGAAAGTAGGATAGATTTATTTGCAGTAACGGCTATTAGGGAAAAGCTCCTTCATTTTCCAGGAGGAAAAGAAAATCAAACACACACTTCCTTCATTAAAAAAAAAAAAAAAAGTTGTTTGTTTGCTTGCTTGCTGTTGTTTGGTTGGTTGGTTGATTTTTGCCATCTTGGGACCTGAATGAAATCTTTATTTCCAGTTGGCAATATGTTGCACAGCATACCTTTTGTAATGGAATGTGCAAGGGTTAATAATGTGAGTTTATTAACAGCAGTAATAAATTATTTTACAACTCTTAGAGATTCTCAGCAATTTCACTAACTTGAATTTAGAAGTAACTGAACAGTGTAAATGAATTATAAGACAATACTAAATAGAGATGTTTGCTCACAAGTTAACTTGTAGCTCTTAAGCTATCAGTTGTTTACTGGTTTGGACCAATGAAGTGCTAAAAGCTAAATACTGTGAAATGTTAAACTTTGATGAAAGATATGAGGAAAGAAACTGTTTCTTTTGCCAACACTGTGGTCAACAGCAGTGCCCTGACCTGATTACTTAAGCTGATGTTTTTCCTAAATCTGTCATGAATCAGTAATTATCAAGTTTTGCAATACTCAATGATTCTCTTGTGAATAGCAAAAAGATTTGTTATTGTAGGTTGGTATTTTCTAAAAGAAGTGTTCAACTCTTCCATCTGCAAGCTCTATACAGTATGTTTTGCTTTTTGCCTGGAGAGCTGTGGAATGCCACAACAAATCTCCTGAAGAGTTTCACAAAAAGTGAGGAAAATTCAATATGGCCTAATCTGCAAGTGACCCTTCTGGTGTCTTTTAAAATGAACTTTCATGTCAGTGTGTTTTTCCATTCATGGTTGGAAGACAGCCAGTTCAAGTGCTCAGTTGTAGGGCTTGACTTGTAGGGCTTGTAATAGGAAAAGGAACTTGTACAACGTATTATTGTTAGCAGGGTGTTTTCATCACATTTTAATATGGTACTTCCAGAAAAATTCCCCTTTTCTGTCGCACCAAGTGCTGCGCAGCAGTGTGAGGTGTGTTGTGGAAGGGATCAGAGGAGGGATTCGGTCCCTGAATGAGGCTGGAAATTCAATCCATGCTTCTCTTGAGTGTGGTGGCATAACTCTTAACAGCTGGCTTTGAAGCCCCAATAATCCTCGCAGCTCATGGCTGAGTTTTCTGAGGAATAAAGGACCAAAATTAGGGGAACTTCTCAGTTAACAGGAACAAGAGATGCAGTAACATGATATGTTGTTTGTTGAGTCACTTGAAAAGGATGGGATGGCAAAACCTCTGTGGGGCTTATTGAAAGGACGCTTTTGGTTTATTTCCATGCAGATCTGTGGTTAGAGCCCCGTGGAAATCAGACGTCACCTCAAGCTGTGTGTGGAGCTGCTGCCGTCCCCTGAAGCCTGTATAAGGAATGCAGCTGAGGATGAGGTAAGTGGGACTGCGCTCCTCTTGTGGGAGAGCTCCTGTGGTCTGACTGACAGCAGTCACTTGTTGGCTCAGGCTAGATGAGCCTTAAAGAGGAGAACATACAAGCAGGCAAATATACAGGCAAATCTTAAATGTCCTAAATGTTGGTTTGAGGGCATGGTCTGACACTGGTGGAGATTTATACAGATGACAGGGGACTTGATAGCAGAAAAAAGAAAATGAAAAAAAAAAAAAAAAGAGGAAACTTGAACCAGCCAGTTCTTTGCTGGTGAAAATTGCTTAACATAGATTTGTGGTTTTAAGTAAACGTGCACATTAAAAGAATGCTGACCTTTAAAAACATGGTTTTCAATAAATTGTTATTGTTGCTTTTAAAGCATATGGACTTACAAGCAGCAGAAAAATACCATAAGCCTATGAGATAGGAAATGCACCATGGAAACAAACTGAACCCTGGCAAAATAAAGAGATGTTTCCTGAATGGTGCTCTCCATTAAAAAGTCAACTCAGCATAGTTCCTTCAGAAATCTGTGTATAAGGGTACTACATACTTCCTAAATCGCACTGCGTGATAAACTGGCGATTCAAATGACAAGCACTATGTTTTGCTCTAAAACAAGGAAGATTTTTGGAAGATTCTTGAGCCAAAGTTATATGTTGTGCATCCATTGCTTAGGAATGCAACAAAATTAATTTGAGCTAATGAAAAAGATCAAGAAATGTACAGCTGCCCTCTAGTGGTAAAATAGCAGCATGAGGTGTGTTTGTTCACAGTGGTGGAGAAGCCGACTGTTTACTGGAAGGTGAACAAAAATGTGCAAATATTTTTAAAGGAATTCTGTAGTCACAGTTCAAATGTCAGACCAACAGTGGAGAAGATGGAACATTAGACAGTAGAGCAGAGGCATTGTGTTCTCTGGGGAGGAGGTCTTTCACAATTCTCATGCTATAGGATGAAAGAAGAGCTCCACAAACTTTATATCCAGAGCTTGTTCCAAAAATTCCCAATGTGTTAAAGAAGTTTGGATTTGGATATTTGCTTCAGCTCATTTTAGGAAGAGAGATATTCTCTGAAACTGGGATATAGCTTCATACTTGAACTTTCCCTTGTTTGGAATTGTTGAAATTGATGGCTTTGTCCTAGCTATTCTCTACTAGATGAAACAACTCTTTCCTGAATGCTGCATTGATCCTCTTCACCTCTAGTTTGCACAGAATTCTGCTCTGGTTCATGAAGTGAAGAAAATTGAGCCAAAACTGTGAATCCTCTGAACAGACTTACCTTACAAACAAAGGCAATGCTTTTTTGGGGAGTGCCAGCTTATTCTAACATAATATATGCAATTAAACTCATTTTCATCTTGTTTAAAATGGGCTAATAACTAACACTCCCCCATTTAAGTCAATTTACTTATTTAAAATTACATGAAAGAGAAAAGAATCAGAGAAAGTTATGTAAGTGTTGTAGCAAGCTGTTATGTACAAATGTTATGTCCTTTGTGAGGCTTCATTTGGTGCTTTGTCAAAGAAATTAACTTGCCCTGTCTGGATACAGTTATTTGGGAAAGTGTTTGAATTTCTGTAATCACTGCAAAGGTAGCTTTCCATGAAACAACTAGACCGGTTAGAAAAGATTAAACTTTTCTGTCCTGGTGTTGTATTTTCTGAAGCTGTTGCTGTGTGATCATCTTTGCTAAATGTGATTTCTGTTGCAATTCGGTTAAACAGAAAGTTGAGCAAGGTGAATTCAGGAAAAACATCTCAACCTGTCAAGATCAGGAATCCTAAATCCAATTATTTGTGTTAAGGTTCAGGTCCTGAATAGCAGACTGTTTCAGGTTCACAGAGAATACAGCGCAAGAGAATTTGGCAGTGGCTCCATTGTGCCAGTGTATTTTCTGAGATGACTGTGTGTGTGTATGTGTGAGACACAGAGAGAAGGTCAGGAAAGGCTCTTGTGCAGAAGTTTCTTTGTATATATTAATATCAGTGCGGATAAAAGAAAAAGTAAAGAGAATATTGATTGCAAACAGTTTCAATCAATGTTTACTGCCTGTGCAGAGTCTTCGAAAGATTAAAATGAGAGGGGAGACTTCTGCCCAGGGAAGTCAATGTAATAAGCAGAGTCTAAAGAGTGTTGATGAATCAGGTTTTCCTTTATCCACGCTTATCGGGTACATCTCCCTCCTATTCATGTTTCTTACAACCTCTTTTGTTTTCCTCTTAATGAATCCAATGCTTCTTAGAAGGCAAAAATCAATTTCTCTGGGTGCAGAAGTCCTGGAATTATGGACAGACCTCTGAACACACACGTACATGCTGAAAAACGTGCACACATGCATATACACATAGAACACATGCTGCTGGTTAGGGACTTTCTGGCAGCATCTGCTGTATTTCTCTGCATGGGTTCTGTAGAGGCTTCTCTGCGCCACACTATGTAAAACAGGTTTGGAGAAAGCTGAAGGAACAGGTAGCTCAGTAGGGCCACTCCTTCTGACATGATGTGAACCAGAATTAGTAAAGGTGATGGTGCTTCAGGTTGTCTGTGGGATTAGCAGCTAGAGGGAGTCCCTTGTAACCTGATCGTGGTGTACCTGCATAACTGGGGAGTCAGCATTTGGTGCTGGAGGGCCATAAAGATCTCTCTCCAGACAATCCTGGTCTTGTCTAAATTGCTGTAAATGAGGCAAAGTCTTCTCTTCCTGGGGGGACTGATGTGGGCAAATCTCTGCGACCCTCCAGAAGAATGTTCTCTTGTTTTTAATGTAAGAGTGGACATCTTGGCTCAGAATTAGTCAGCTCCAGAGGTCAGAGTGTTCTTTGATCTGTCCTGAATCTGAACGAAGAGGCTGGCTGTATCTAACGCTGATTTTTGATGTGGAGACATGCAGATGCTCCACTGAAGTGGCTTAGTGATTTCATAGAGACTTTAAGGTAGGCATGGGATAGAAACTCCAAGGGATAACTAAGTCCAGTTAGACTCTGTGGTGTGGTCAGAGAGTAGAATATCTGTTAATTCATTGGCAGTAATATTCATATACATGTCATATTCTTAAAATAACATCATGAGTCTTCAAAATTTATCAGACCCCAGTGCCTAGGAGATAGGCCCAACCACCTGACAGCTGATGCTAGTATGTATGCTTCCTTAGAAACAACACCAGTGTAAACAGTGCAATGATAATTTGATGGTGTTCTGTTACCTCTGGCCCTTTGTGTGGGATATTTTGTTTCCCATTTGCAGTGCAACATATCCAGAGGTAGGTCCTGTTTTCCTTGCTTTTCCCATCTGTCCCATCGCTCATGGCCACTTCTCTCCCCAGGGATCAGTGTTCCCCCCTGCTACCATGGTTCAGCGCTCCTCATTGATGATAGGTAAGGATTTAGTTTGCGGTATCTCAAACAAAAGAAAACAGGTGCCAGAGGAGCAAACAACTGCTTTGTGCTCGGGAACATCCTCACCTTTCATCAGGCCTTCCAGCACTATGCTGAGGGTGGACCCCAAAGTGCTTCCTTGCTCCTCTGGTGCCTGTTTTCTTTTGTGTGAAATACTTGATACAGATGATATTTTCATCAGACTACCTGTGGAGGTCAGTTTGCATGAGAACATTTACAATATCCTTCAGGTATATGGTAGAAGCCGCAGCCATTGAGTTCTCTAGGGAAGTTTATATTCTTCTGTAGGTACACGGCCAAGAATATAACTTAGATTCCCAGCAAAGACACATTCTTGTTCCGGCATTCAGCAGGGAGTATAACCTCCGCAGTGGTCCTCCCTGTAGTTCCAACAGTGAAAAAACTGTAACCATCGTGAACTGCAATTTGTTTTCTGAAAAGGCTTGGCAAATTTCCATGAACACTAGGTATCTGTCTAACTAAATTTGCAAGTTCCGCCAGCTGCCCTGGGGAGCTTGTAAGTTCCTTGAAACTTACTCCTGTCCACATAGCAGTTACAAGATGTGACTGCTTTGCCAGCAGAGCTGGTCAATTCCAAGAACCCTAGATACTGGATTCAAAGAAATTACAACCCTGCTGGCCACAGTGGTCAAGCTAGAAATGTTTTTGTGTTTCGTGATCCTTAGCTGTTTCTACACGTAGTTCACAAGTTGCAATTGTGCATCTACGTAAAAGACTTTGGCAACAAAAAGCTGGAGTTCTTGGTGGTAGCAGTTTCAGCCAGCACAGTGCATCCACGGGACTTGGAGAAGTTGCAGAGCTGCTGGTTTCACAGCAAAGCTTCTAAACCTAGTGGTCTCTGGGCAGAACCTTTCTGAGGCTGTCCTCCAGTTGGTTTAGCAGAGAAGATACTACTCTCATGGCCCTCAAAATTCAGGGATGGGTATAATCAGTCACATCATTAAACAACCTTGTACTTTGTATGGAGCCTAAAATTAGTGATTTATGGAGATAACATATTCTGCCTCTCAGCTGGCAAGTTTGCAAACTTCTCTATGTCTTGATTTGAAGGAAGATTGGGATTAGGAAAGGCCAGTTTTCACTGAATGAGAATACAAATTCTTTGGCCTTTCTATGGGAAGTTTTAGCTGAGAAGAGGTTTCTACCTTTTGTCAGAAAGTTTTCCTTTGGTGCAAGACCAGACAAGCTGTATTCAGATGGTAAGGAGGGGGATGTTTAGATTTAGAAAATTAGGGTAAATTGGGCAAAAACTGAATTTTACAGTGATTTTTTTTTTTTTTACAGTCTAACACTAGTGTTTTGTTTCACAAAACTGAAAGTTCCCTACAGGTTTTAGTACTGCATTTAGAAAGAAATAACACTCTACATTTATTATATCTGACAATTGAAGAACATCTAGCAAAAGAAGTAAAAATATTCCAATTTTTTCTTATGACCAGCATGCATTGTATTACAGTGACTGTTTGGATCAAGGGGTCACGTATATTCTTGACATCTTTTCCCTTCATATTCTGTGGAAACCATGAAGAGGTAGAAACAACTTTTTTTTTTTTTTCTTTTTTTTCCTGTAAATTGTGTAA